CAATAGAATGGCTTCAAAATAGGAAATTTCAATCAAAATTCTTAAATCTAGAAGGTGTTATAAAGATTAATTGAAATTACGAGGTATTACCTTGGTATTTCTCAAACTTTTCGAGAAAAATCATATTTTATGTTGTTCAAAAAGAAAGATGCACTTGATGCAAACTTTTTTAAATCAAAACTCCCAAAATTTAAAACTTGATTTGTCCTGAATATATTGACTAGTTTTGATTTTAGTTTACTTCAGGAGAAAAGACAAAAAATAGAAGTGTTTCAAAATTAGAAATTTTCAATCAAAATTCTTAAATCTACGAGATTATTACGGCTTTCCAAATTTAGTCCAGATTTACATTTTTTTCAAGATAAGAAAAAAATGCATTTTTTTGTTTTGGAAGTGATATAATATAATGAACCATGACAGTGGTTCATAATACGGGTCGCAAAGGAATTGCACAGAATTCTAAAAACACCTCACACAGTAAAGATTCAGTTCAAACAACACTATAAAACCTTTACTACATATTGCTAAGGCTGTGTACATATAAAAAAGCACGCATATTAGCCTTATAAGGAAAAGAAAATCTGCTCAAAATGGCTCATTTTTTCTTGTTATTCTCTTGCCAGACTACAAGAAAAATGGATATGTGTATTGCAATCAAACCTTTTGTAGAATACTAAATAAGGTACTGTGAAGGTCGTAGGGGGTAATGAAAAATCGATTTGTTTCTTCTATCGTTTACATAAGCTAAAAAACATCATAATTCTAATGTAAATAATTTTATCGTTTCTCCTTAAAGTTAGCTTTCTTACAAATATCTGATGTTTCTTTCAAAATCTTAAGTAAAGAGTGAAAACAGGAATTACCAGCCAATAATAGAAGAACATTAGATGACTACAACATGTAGATACTCAATGCTTTGTACACTAAACAATTGATGACTTTAGGGAGCCAACCCCTATATTATGTATGAGGTGAATGAGTAAAAAAGGAAATCAATACACAATATTAAATTTCATTACACACATTCGTAGAATGATTACTTTTAAAGACCCGAAGATTTATTTAAAGTGATGTTTTATTTGAAAAGGCTCCTTTTCTACCAGTAAAATTTTATAGCACTTAGTGGGGGTTGTGTCTTAGTCTAAGTATAAATTTGCCATTGCTATGCATTATATATGGACATTTTAGTTACACAGAACCTATAAATTTCCACTATATTCTCAAACAAATCTCCATGGCAATCTCCAGCTGCAGCTTAACATTTTACATCTCGAACTAATGCGACCAAATAGCCAATAGCAACAGTAAATCATCATGAACTGTATCAGCAAGCTACTAGCTATGATTATTATCATTACAATGTATAAAGTTATCTACCATATCAAGTGCCCGGCATGGCCAGGTGGTTAAGACACTCGAGTCGCAATCAGAGGGTCGCGGGTTCGAATCCCTGTCACACCAAACATGCTCGCCCTTTCAGCCGTGGGGGCATTATAATGTGACGGTCAATCCCACTATTAATTGGTAAAAGAGTAGCCCAAGAGTTGGCGGTGGGTGGTGATGACTAGCTGCCTTCCCTCTAGTCTAACACTGCTAAATTAGGGACGGCTAGTGCAGATAGCCCTCGTGTAGCTTTGCGCGAAATTCAAAAACAAACAAACCATATCAAGTATACTCCTTTGCACATAGTTCAGTTTAAAAAAGACAGCAAACTACATAAATACAAAATTGGGAATTTAAATACTTGCAAGTAGGGATCGTGAAAAGAAACAAGGCTGGAGATACTGTAGACATTGTTAACTCAAACTACAAATTCATATTTTGACTCCATTAAATGTAATTCTAGGTAACAGCATGTAAGAAAAATAGGAGTTTGTAGTTTGATTAAATAATGTCTACAGTAACTCCAGCCTTGTTTCTTTACTCTTTTTTACAATCTCTATTTAACTTAACGTTTTGGAAAAGCATGGGACCTATTGGTCCATCTCGGCTGTTCCATCCTCTAAACTGAACTAAAATTATTAATAAATAAATTTAAAAAATCTTAAAGCCAGCCATTATCATTATCATACTTATCACGCTTTCTCTTAAAGCCACTTAAATTTACTGCCTCAACAACATCCGAAGGCAACCCATTCCAAAGACCAATCACCCTGTTAGAAAACAAAACTGTCTTAGCTGAAGATGAGGCCCGACATGGCCAGGTGATTAGGGCGCTCGACTCACAATGTGAGGGTTGTGGGTTCAAATCTTCGTCCCACCAAACATGCTCGTCCTTTCAGCCATGGGGGCGTTATAAAGTCATGGTCAATCCCACTATTCATTGGTAAAAGAGTAGCCCAAGTGTTGGCAGTGGATGGTGATGACTAACTGCCTTCCCTCTAGTCTTACACTGTTAAATTAGGGATGGCTAGCACAGATAGCCCTCGTGTAGCTTTGCACGAAATAAAAACAAAACAAAAGCTGAAGATGACTCTTACCCTGCCAAAATTTATATTTGATTTTCCAGCCCTACTATTCTCGCTGTTAAGTATGAAAAAAGATTATGCATAAACACTATCAATTCCCTTTACAATCTTAAACACATCAATTAGACCCCTCCCCCACAACTCTCCATTTTTCAAGAAAAACTAAATTTGAGAGATTTCAATTTCTTCTCGTATGACAACTCCTCCATCCTAGGCACCATTCTCTGAATTCTTTCCAACAATTCAATGTCCTTCCTAAAGTAAGGTGCCTGGCATGGCCAGGTGGTTAGGATGCTTGGCCTGCAATCTGAGGGTCGCGGATTCGAATACCCATCCCACCAATCTTGCTCGCCCTTTCAGCAATGGGGGTGTTATAATGTTACGGTCAATCCCATCATTCTTTGATATAAAGAGTAGCCCAAGAGTTGGTCGTCGGTGGTGAAGACTAGCTGCCTTCCCTCTAGTATTTTGCTGCTAAGTTAGGGTCTGCTAGAGCAGATAGCCCTCATGCAGCTTTGCACGAAATTCAAAACAAGCCTAAGGTAAGGAACCCAAGACCGAACACAATATTCCAAATGTGGAATATTGTGACCTATAAAATGAAATGGTAACATTTTCAGACTTGTATTCAATATTTCTGTAGATACAACCTAAACTCATATTTACTCTACCACTAACAACAACACATTGCTTGGATGGCTTAAGAGACTGATCGATCATTACAACAAGATCCCATTCTTTCATATTGTTACGACAGCGGAAGTCACGTGAAGCTGCTGGCGCGTTTTGCGCTAGTATCGTACTTGAAATTTCTCGAATGATTATGAATTTCCTAGTGCGTTCGAGACGCCCTCTGTGTTTATTCTGTACTCGACAAGGTCATGTTCTCCTTTCGAAAAGACGTCTGCATAATTCGCCAAAAGTTCCTTAACCTGGAGAGCCTGTGATGATGACAAATGGATTATGCTCTTCTTGTAGAGGTCAGTTAAATGTTCTGGGAGTGTATGCCCTTTCTTTATGGTTGTATTTCTTGTTTTAACATTGACTGGCTCTACCTGCTGGCACACACCCAACAATGCCCCTTCCTTAAGTGTCTGCTGACATTTAGAGAAATTGGCCACTTTTATGGGTACTTGATGACCTGCCACAAGTGACCTTCCAATCTTCACATCTGCTGACCTGGATGGGTCTTCCACTGCTTCCACAAGCATTGGGCTT